TTTTTCTAAACCCACCCAAGGGTGGCAAATCCGCGTCTTAGCCTACTTGCGGGTAGCAACATCAAACCATTGTATTTGAGACAAAAAAATTCGTCACAAATTTTTCATTTTTAATGATGAATTTGTTTTTGTCTCTATTGGTAGCTTCTTTGACAAAAAATTTTCGTCTTCGTTTTTATTAAACGTGACAAAATTATTTCGTCTCTATTTCTTATATTTATGACAAAATACTTTTGTCTCTAATTTCTCCTTTAATGACAAAATATTTTGTCACTAATTACTTACAAGTATGTTCCCAACAAAGTGTATTGGAGACAAAAAAAATCGTCATAAATTTATCATTTTCAATGACGAAATTTTTTTTTCGTCTCTAAGACCCTTTAGCGACGACCCTTTGGCGACAAAACGGGTGACGAAAAATGTTCGTCGTAATTACTTTGGGTGACGAAATATATACATTTTGGGACAAATTTGTTTCGTCTTTAAATCCCAAATTTGTTGTAGTGTATATTTCTCGATGTTATGTGTGCCAATAGGTTAAGGCAAAACACCAACGACCATTTGGACTTTTGCAGCCTCTTGAGATTCCTACTTTGAAATGGGAGTGCATCTCTATGGATTTTGTGGATGGATTGCCGCGGTCTAAGCGAGCCAATGAATCTATATGGGTGATAGTGGATCGACTCACCAAGTCTGCTCATTTTATTCCTATCAGTGTTCACCGAACTGCGGATAAACTAGTTAGGCTGTATATTCGGGAGGTGGTGCGACTTCATGGCGCACCAGTTTCTATAGTTTCGGATCGTGATCCGTTGTTTGTGGCAGAGTCTTGGGAGAGTTTTCAGCATGCTTTGGGTGCTAGGTTAGACTTGAGCACGACTTATCATCCCTAGACAGATGGGCAAACTGAGCGGGTAAATCAAATCTTGGAGGATATGTTGAGAGCTTATGTTCTCGATCTTGGTGGTAGTTGGGAAGAACACTTGCCATTGGTGGAATTTGCTTATAATAATAGCTATCACTCTAGTATCGAGATGGCACCTTTTGAGGCTTTGTGTGAGAGGCCATATCGATCACTTGCTTGTTGGATGGAGGTAGGAAATGCGCCGTTGTTAGGGCCAGAGTTGGTGAGAGAGACTACGGAGAAGGTAAATATTATTCGGGAACGTATTAAGACTGCGCAGAGTTGTCAGAAGAGGTACGCTGATAGAAAATGTAAGGGGGTTGAGTTGAATGTTGGAGATTTCGTGTTTTTGAAGGTCTCGCCGATGAAGGGTATTATGCGGTTCGGAAAGAAGGGAAAGTTGTCACCTAGATTTGTGGAACCATATGAGATCACTGAGAGGATTGGTAATGTGGCTTACAAATTAGCTCTACCACCTGCTTTTGCTTTGATTCACAATGTGTTCCATGTATCTTTATTGTGGAAGTGTGTGCAAGACCCATCCTAAGTAGTATCACCAGAAGTGTTGGAGATTAGTGATGATCTAACGTATGTGGTGCGACCGGTTACTATTCTAGATCAAGATGTAAAGTAGTTGTGGCGCAAGAAAGTGAACTTGGTGAAAGTGTAATGTAGTGAAAATGAGAACGATATTACCTGGGAGTTAGAAGAGAAAGTTCGACGTATGCACCCGGAACTTTTTGCTTAGTACTCTCTCCTATCGAATCTTGGGAAGAGATTCTTTTGAGGTGTGTATATTGTAGCGACCCTAATTTTCTTTAAGCCTTTATTTATTTATTTATTTATTATTATTATGATCTTATTTTATTTTTGGCTTTATTAATTGTGTGGTTACATGAGAATTTAATGTGATATTTAATTAATTTATTGTGTTAGTTAATTATATATAATTAATCTAAATATTTATTGTGTGTGTCAATTTCTGACCACACTGCCAATCAAGCACTCAGCTGGAGAACACTAGCATAATAGATTAAGCCTGAACAACCTGTCATAGAAAAATAAGAATCCCGCGGTGGTTCGTCCACCCGGGGGCACTCCGACGATCAAGTCAGTAAAATATCTCTCAAAGATATCCAATAATACTTAACTCACAAGACAGAGCATAAAAGACATACCTTAGACCCATGGGGATGCCTCCCTTTTATAGCCAACACAATCCTAGTCCCAATAGAAGCCTAGCTCTAATGGACTTAGGATTACTGTTAATCTTGGACTCCCAATAAGATAGGAATAAACTCTCTAAGAGCCTTATCTTTATCCAAACTGGAGTCTTCTTCTGTGCTAGGACTCTTGTCCCCTATCCGCTTATCCCAGACTCCGACATCTTCAGAGATAACCTCGGCCATGCCGAGATCTTCTCGGCATCTTGGTCAAGACAAGTGGCACCTCAGATTGATTTTAATTATTTTGATTAGTTGTGTTTGTAAGGTTTAGGATTTTTAGATAATTGATTGATTTTAATTATTTTGTTTAGTTGTGTTTGTAGGGGTTAGGGTTTTTTGATAATTGATTGATTTTAATTATTTTGTTTAGTTGTGTATGTAAGGTTAGGGTTATTAGTTGATTGATTGATTTTAATTATTTTGATTAGTGGTGTATGTAAAGTTTAGGGTTTTTAGATAATTGATTGATTTTAATTACTTTGATTAGTTGTGTAGGTAAAGTTTAGGGTTTTTAGATGATTGATTGATTTTAATTATTTTGACTAGTTGTGTTTGCCAGTTTTAGAATTTTTATATGGATTTATTTTATATTTGTAATCACACTCATGGTTACATGAAATTAAAATTAATTAGGAACCCATAGATAAATTCCTTATACTCTACCATGATTCCATGGATTGTTGTTTTATTTAAGTGTTGGTGAGAAAGAGTGCAGTGTATAAAAAAAAGTGAGGATTATGAGATTTATTTGAATACCTCAGGCTTGGCATTATTATGTTTATTCCCATGAGTGAGATGTTGTGTATATATATATTGTTGCCATGTTCTCATGAGTAGACAAGTGCTTTGATTTACGCGCGTACGTATATGCTAACCATTCGGGGAGTGTGAGTCAAACTCGGGATGACATCCCCGTGCAAGTTTGGCTTCGG